AAACTGGTAACCAGTTTCCCTAACCCTTCCTGTCATTAAACCGGTAACCAGTTTCCCTAACCCCTCCACCCCTCTTGTCAATAAACTGGTAGCCAGTTTCCCTAACCCCTCCACCCCTCCTGTCAATAAACTTGTAACCAGTTTCCCTAACTCCTCCACCCCTCTTGTCAATAAACTGGTAGCCAGTTTCCCTAACCCCTCCTATCTCATTAAACTGGTAACCAGTTTCCCTAACCCTTCCTGTCATTAAACCGGTAACCAGTTTCCCTAACTCCTCCACCCCTCCTGTCATTAAACTGGTAACCAGTTTCCCTAACCCCTTCTGTCTCATTAAACTGGGAACCAGTTCCAGCTACTAATGGGAGCTGAGGGTGGACCTTCTGACGCCTGTGTGTCCCAGTTGGTGGGAGTAACTCCTCTATAAAACCAGTAAAAGCAGCTTCAGGGATCAGAGGACCAGATTGATGTTTTTATCCTCCCAGTTTGGAACACCATGATGTTCCCCTGCAGCGCCCTGCCTCCGCCTCTCTATCCGGCCTTCCTGCGCCCTCCTCCGGCTCTCGCCTCGCCTCTCGGCCGCTCGCTGCCCTCCGGCTTCCTGGTGGAGGATCTGCTGCGGCTCAGCCAGCCTGTCGGTTACATCCACCGGACCTTCTCCTCTGGGAACCCGGAGGGGCTGGTCCAGCTCAGCCCTGGGATGGGCGCCTCGCCTCCAGCGGAACCACCGAACCGAACTGGGTCACCGGGCTGCTCGGACTCCGGATGTCTGAAGTTCGGCGTCAGCGCCATCCTGGCTCCGTCCACAAGAAGCGGTGAGTTTTTAAAGGTTTCTGACAGCAGAACACTATTATTACAGAATATATAGATGATAACTGGAATGTTTCCATCATAACATCACAGTTTAATAAAATCCACAAAGTTATGAAAAATATTTTAAATATTGATCAATATTTTTATCCCTTAAACTTCATAAAAAGCGTTAAAAGGTTGAGTTGTATTGTAAAATCTAAAAATTAAAAAAGTTCCTAAGTTTATTTGCCTTTAATTTATGCAATTTAAACACATAAATATTTATCCACTCATGGAATCAGGATTTTTTGCCTTTAAAATCATTTCAGACATTATGCTATATTATAGTTATATTATAGTTTCTTTTCAAAAATTATTATTTTACATGTAAATCATCACATTCTACTGGCAAATTGTCTTACAGGCTCAAATCGAGGGAAAACACGATTATTTTTAGAAAGCTTCCAATAAAAGTTTCATTCAGGATTAAATAATTTTAAGAGCTTTAAGGGAAATTACTTTTAAAAAGTGATAGAAACATTACCAGCCAAATAAGAAGATTGAGTTTTCAGATTCTGTGTTTAAATACATTTTTTTTTTATCATTCTAATAATCCTGAATGATGTGAAATTTGTGTTGTAAAATTGTATTTTATTCTTTTTTCTTTGAATCATTTTAATGGCTGTCCTCTTTCTTCTCCAATGCAGCTCAGAGTCTTCAGACCAAGGTGCTGCCGTTCTTTGATGGAAGCCTTCATCCTCTCATCAGAGCCTCCTACTTCACAGGTAGATGCATCACCAGACCACTGCTGCTTTTTAGGACGCAGTGTTCTATTTACCTTTATTCAGGCCTTTCATTTGGGGATCATATCTAATCCCCTTTAATTCACATCTGGTCACACGTTTCTATCCAGAGTCCGGCTGCAGAGCTGGACACTTTCCAGCTAATCCAACTTTCTGCTGTTTTCTCTTTTTAAAATCTTAAAGTTTTGGTAAATTGTGAAGCAAAACTCTTCCAGATCAAATAAAATAGAAAATAATCTCAATAATTGAACTCGAACGTTAAAATGTTTACTTTATAATGTGAAGATTTTACTTATCAGATTAAACTCTTAAAGAAAAGAGTTTGGTGCAGAAATCAAAATTTTCTGCAGATTTTCTACTACCTCTAACACTAAAGATAACTGTTTAAACCAACAGTGTTGAAACTCTGTTTAGCAACTTTCAAACACGTGTTTAATAATCAATTATTGTGCTGAGAGAAAACAAAACTTCAGGATTAAGTTTATAAAAAATATCCTAAATCTTAAATCAAACATTTTTCATCCAAAGTGAGACTTTTATAAATTTCTAGAAAATATTTAAAGCAAAAAAAAAAAATGAATACATTAAATATATTTTTTTTCTTATTTTAATCTTATTGTCACTTCATGTGCCTGAAGGCCTCAGCCCTGCAGCAGCAGGATGAATAAAAAAAAAAAAACACATTTTCAGGGAAACTTTGTTTTAAACTTAATTTAAAATAGAATTAAATGCATTAACTAAAATAAGGGTTAAAAGAGGCAAATTAAAATAGAGGGATCAGCTGGTGTTTTAGCAGAGCTTACGTTTTCAGGTTTATGGAGCGTCTGGAAGCTCCAAGCAGTGAATCTAACATTTCAGAAGATTTAAAAAAAAAATTTGGTCTAAAAGAATTGAAAGATTAGCTTAAATTTTAAAGTTAAACCTCTAACAGATTTCTGTGGTTGGAATAAAGACGATGGAGTGGAAGGATTCATTTATGTCTGCTAAAGAAGCAGATGGTCTGTAGGACAAGCAGAGTCACTCTGTTATAGTCTGATGATGAGAGAAACCTCAACAAACTGTTTCTACAAAGACCCTCAGAGGTTTAATTTACCCAAAAGCATGAGCAACTTTTCTGTCAGGCACCAGAATGCATATAGGTGGCTCGGTGAGTTAAAGATATAAATGAAAAGGAAAGAAACTGAGTCAGGAGGAAAGCAGAGGATCCAGGGAAGACAAACAGATGAACAGAATCTACTAACAGATACGTCCCACATAACATCACATCTGCTGCACCATGGTGGCGATATAATGAGCCCTGAAAGCCGTGTTGTTGGGTTTGAAGGCGAAACGATAAAACAGCAAAGAGAAGTTTTTCATTACACACCGAGAATCAGAGAAGATGAATGTGAGAAAACTTTGCTCCTGAGCATGGAGCATCGTCGACACAAGCCATCTAATATGGCACAAATTTGCTCACATCACTTTATCAGCAGTAAGGACTTTTACAAATGTTTTATAAAAGTTGATGTAGCTTAAGAAAAACACCCTACATCTGTGTAAACAATGGGAAGTAGAACAGAAAGGCCTCATTATTACATCTGAATGCAAACATTTCTGTTAAATTATTGTAAAAATGTTCTAATCATGTTTGGTTTACATTTATTTTAATTTAGAGACAATAAATAAAGAGCATATATGCATATTAGGAACTATATATAGGAAATATCTTTAATTTGAAAGCTCCTGAGGGAGAAATGTTTAAAACGTAAAAACAAAATGGACTAAAATATCTAAGAAATAAGCAAGAAAAGAAGACTAGAAAAAAACTAAAAACATGGTAAATGAACCAAACTGGTACGGCAAAACCCAAAGGCAACATTACTTAATATGGTAAAAGTAATACTTATGAAATAGAGTAAAGGCAAAACCAAAACACAAAATTCTTAGAGTAAAATACAAGAGAAGTGACATCAAAAGATCCAAACCATGATACCTTCAAGATACCTAAACTAAAATCAGGTTGTTTTATTCAATGGCATACATCAGGTTTTTACAGGGAAAATTATTTATTCATTCAATGTTCTGAATCTACTTTTATATATTTGTTAAGGGAACAATATACGTAAATAGAAAAAAGCCGGATAAAAAGGTTGGTTCTGTGAATTCTTCTGGATAAGCAGTTTTTACAGCTTTTTTAAATGAAGAAAACTGTTAAGTTTCTTACATTTTCTTCCAATGAAGAACATTTTTAGGGACAAACTTTGTTTCTGGAATGAAGAGATAAAAAAAAAAAAATCTAAATATCTAATTTAAACATTCAGAGTGAATCTACTTTAGATGTGGGATGATAATAAATTAGTCGGTCCTTTTAAAGAAATAAATGTTGCTGCAAATGGAAGCTTCTTCAAAACCACCAGTTTGTTTGTGTGAAATTATACAAACAAATAATATTACAATACGGAGTCAATTTCTGCCAAATAGAAACAGGAGATTGCAGGACTTTTCTTTCCATTTTTATCATGGAAATCCCAGGAGCAGCTCTGAATCGGCTGGTCGGGTCTAAACGCCTCTTTAGCCAAAACACTGACTGCTGACATTAGCACCAGTTGTCCTAATCTACAAATTAGTCCGGTTTGTTCCGCTCCAAACATATTAGCGGCGTTTGTCATGCCTCTAAATGTGAGGCGGGTATCTTCCCAGCTCAGGAACTCGGCCGTTTTCCCACCAAACCCCCTCGGCCAGCCCACAAAGCATCCGGCACCGTGACCAATCGCAGCCAGAGCCACACACACAAACACACACACAAGTTTAAGCACACGCACACGTTGGGATTTCTCTAAATGTTTGGTCTAACTACCTTTTTTTTTGCCTTCTCATCTGGACTCCTTAATATCTTTAAAAAAGTGCTGTTAGTGCACCACTCGGGAGAATTTGGAAATACAACGGTTGGAAAGGCCGCTTCCCTACGACTTTAACGCATTAAAAGTAATGAAAATGTTCAGTTGTAATAAAGCTTTTTGTTATTTTCTCTACTCCTCTTTATTACCTTTTAAAGTTTCAATGGTGAGAAAGTAGGAAATGAGAAGCCCGGTTCTCCCTGAGAGCGAGGATGCCGCCCCACATCACCATACCGCCCCCACCAGCACCTGCTTTGTTCTGACCGAGAGGATCCATTCTGGTTTAATTTTTTCACCCTCTTGAATTAAAACGTTGTTCCTTTTATTTGGAAAATTGGATAAAACTTTTAGTTTAATTTAGTTATCTGTATGGAACTAAATGAAAAGAGAGACAGGTCCATTAACTTCCCGTTTCATGGGTCCCAGTTCAGTTGGAGTCTATTCAAACTAGGATCTATAGGAATCTGAAGGTTTGCCTGAGTGCCTGTGTTTGGTTTCTGGTTTATCTTCGGCTAACATGTGTGATAATTCTCACATGCAGGTGTGTGAAGCGGGGAAGCCCTTCTGGGAGCTCTGACCTGCCTTTAATGGGCCTGTAATAAACCGGCCTGTCGACGGCCTTTTCCACTCAATTCATTACAACACAATCAGCTTTCTCTGAGCATTTGCAGCCTATACAACCCCCCCACCCCCCCTCTTCATGCTTCATTAGAGCCGCTCTTTGGAGGCCCTGTCTCATTAGCATGGGCTGTGTTTCCAGCGCCGGACAAATTGGGCTCTTCAAGCATCAGATTTGAGGCAGAACGAGGATATTATGAGGAGCATCGGGGAGCCTGTGTGCTCATTACAGGGACAAGAAGGGGCTCACAACGCCGACAAACGTGGAGGAAAATCACACGGCAAAGTTCACAAGACCCCGCGCTGAATCGGCATCGCAGTTTCTCATATATGAGGATAAAATGCCAGCATCCATAAACACATCTACAAAACAACATGTGACGAATTTAACAGGAAAGACATTTCTCATCAGCTTTACTCTTTTATTTGGTCTCTTAATTTTGCACTCTTCCTTTTTTCAAGAAGGAATAATTAATAAAAAAAAAATATCTACAACGATTACTTTTTACTGCCATGTTTGAAAAGATTTAATTACGAACATCATCCCGTTTTATCATCATTCCAAGCATCTTTCATCAGGAAGGTTCATTTTCACTTTAGAGTAGATTCTACATGTTTTATAGGTCAGAGGTCAGAGGTCATCATTTCATAAACTACAATATCCACTAAACAACTATAGAAATCAGAATTTTACTTTCAATTAAATATTTTCTCTGTTCCTGCAGCTTCCTCTTCCTCCTCCTCAGTGGTTCCGGTTCCAGGAACCTTTTCTTGGCCTCTGGCCCCCCGTGGGAAGCCCAGAAGGGGGATGCTGCGTCGGGCCGTATTCTCGGACCTCCAGAGGAAGGCGCTGGAGAGAACCTTCCAGAAACAAAAGTACATCAGCAAACCAGACAGAAAGAAACTGGCCACTAAACTGGGCCTGAAGGACTCACAGGTACCGCTGGGACCAAACTGGTTCCTTAAAATGTCTAAACTGGGTTCAGATCAGCGTTTTACTAAGTTATTATGCGATAATGCTTTTTTATCAGAAGCATCCACAGCTGTGCTGTCCTCTACTGAAACATCTGTGTATTGCAGGGAAGTTTTTGTAGATTCTGCTAACAGTTAGAAACAGTTTGCAAACATCAGAATAATCAAATTTGCATGTTGGAGGTTGAGTTACAGTTGTCTACGATTAAGTGACAGTTTACTCTGACTCTTTTCAGTCAGAAATATCTAGATGAGTCAGGAGACTCTCCTCAGCTTGTAACATATCCCAGAAACGGGACCAAAGGATGTTAAGCTTCTGCAGGACAAATCCTGGAGCCCCATCTGAGCTCCAGGGTTTCTGTCTTTCTCTGAGCTTGTTTATGTGTTTATATCTATGCATTTAGCAGGGGCTTTTATCCAAAGCCACTTGAAAAATAGACACAATGTCAAAATTATCATCAATGTGACAATAAGTTCTCTGGTCAGAATCAGTGGTGAAAGCAAAGATATAGAGGGAAGTTCAGAAAGAGTAGTAGAGGGGTACAGAGCTATGGGTAAGAGTTAGGATAGGAGATGCTCTTTGAGGAGTTGGGTCTTTAGGAGTGTCCAGAAGATAGACAGGGACGCTCCTGTTCTTGTAGCACTTGGTAGGTCATTCCACCATCTTGGAACATGTGAAAACGGTCTGGATTGTCTTAGCATGGTGTAGGCACTGCTAGACCACAATCCATTACTGACCGGAGTGACAGAGTTGTGACATAAGGCTTTGCTAGAGGGTTCAGGTAGACGGGAGCCGTACCCTTAAGCTTGTGGTGAGTTTGGGATGTCCAGTCCAGGGAAACTTGGCAGCTGCCATCAGGGTTTTCCCTGCAACTCTTCCCAGACTGACAGCAGCATCAGTTGCTTCTCCAGTTGAAGCTTCACCCTGCTGAGTCAACGGTCACTAAAGATGTTCCTAGTTTATCTGTTTTCTACCCACAGATGGGCAAACCCATCTGGCTTGGCCTACTTCCTGACCAATGCTGCCATCTGGTGGCCTTTGTCTTCCTCACAGGTGAAGATCTGGTTTCAGAACCGCAGGATGAAGTGGAGGAACTCCAAAGAGCGAGAGCTGTTATCGACCGGCGGCTGCCGTCAGCAGACCCTCCCCACCAAAACCAACCCCCATCCGGACCTGACTGACGTGGGCAGCACGTTCTGCCAGAGGCTGAACCGGCCTGCAGCCGACACCCAGGAGCCTCATCATCATCATCATCATCATCAGAGCCCCTCCTCTCCATCGGATCTGAGCAAACTGTCAGAATCGGACAGTGAAGAAATCACAGTTTCATGAAGAGGACTCCTGAGCAAACCTCCAAAGTGCCTCAATCTGTTCTGTATATATCTGTATCTACTCAGCCTGGTTCTGTACAGATTTTCATCCGAAGCTAAACCAGTTCAATGAGCTGCTCTAGATTGAAGATCTCTAGATCTAAATGTTTCAAAATTAAAGTTACTAAATGTGTGTGTGTGGAGGGGTGGGGTTGGGGATTTTTTTAAATGAAGTTTTCATATTTTTGTTAAAATAAACCAAGATACAATTTCTGATTTATTGTGTTTACTGAAGCGTTCAGCTGAAGTCATGTCTGAACAGATGCTGGGTTGAGCTTTATTGTAAACATCCAAGGCTTTGCAGCACGGTGGTGGAGGAATTTTGGAGAAAAATCACTTCCATTCCAGTCAGTTGATGTTTAAACCTTATTGACCATGTCAGTATTTTCTATTTCATCTACTGGTGGCGGGTACATCCAGTGGATCATTTTCCATGTCTCCATAGCCTTTAGAATCTGTTGTATTCATTCCTTCAGCCAAATTTCTCCCAATATTAGAAAGAAAGTTATTAAACTGATTAGCCACATTATTTATAAAAAGTACTCAGGGAATCCTTCATTTGTTGAAGCCTCTATAATAACAGTGTTTAAAACTTTCCATAAACCTTTAGTGTTAGTTTTGTTATAGGGTATTAACATGCTTTAATCCTTTTTCCAAGTCCTTATAAGTTTATTTATTTTTAGAAATTTTATATTCACATTTAGCCGCTGTTATTTATTTTAAGAAAGGGTCTTTACAGAGACAATAACACACAGTTTGGTTGAAAACTTCCATCAAGGAAAACCAGCTGATTGCATAAGTCACTGACTTGCAAATTCATGAATCTATCAAAAGAAAAATGTGTGATTAGTGAGTGTTTTTTTACCCATGTGCAATAGGGTTTTACTGGAAGTTTAAAGGAATAGTACACCCAAAACATGATTAGCCTTCATTTTCTACTCACCCCCATGCTGAACAACACTCTGGAGTACTTTTTTGATAT